CCATACACAGAGGATGGAAGGGAAGGGACTAGCACTGAAAGAACCTCTGCATTACACCGACGTCATCCTCACCGACCCCCTTCCCGGAGTGCCTTTTCGATCCCTGCCGGGGGGATCCGCCGCACCGTTCTTTGGCCCGTCCTCCCACACCCTTCCGACAACGTCGGGCGGTCGGGGTGGCGGGGGGGGGCCGTGAGCCCCCCCCTTGAGGGGGAAAGAGAGTCCCCGAGGAGAGGGACAGAAAGGGGGTCCCTGCAGAGGGGAGGGGTCCCGACTTCCGCCCTAACGCGCTCCTGGTCGGACGTCGACCGGCCCAAGCTGCTGGCGACCTTTACCGCGACGTCGGTCGCGTACAGCCTGCTGGGCCACCCCCTCCTTCTCGTCATCGCGCGGCAGCAGTGCGCGAAGTCGCACGTCGCGGCCCAGGACGTCGTCCGGGGAGCCTGCCAACGGGACGGGCTGCGGGGGCTCTACCGCGGGGTTGGGGCCGCGATCACGGGCACCGTCCTCAGCGAGCTCGTCTACTACGCGTGTCTGGAGTACGGGAAGGAAAAGCTCCCGCATCGGGACCGGGAGTGGCGAAGCTTTGGCGCCGGGCTCGTTGCGGATGCCTTGTCGACCCCGCTTTTTAACCCCTTTGGGGTCATTTCGCAGGTACAGATGGTCGCGGGAGGAGGCTTTGAGAGCGAGCATAACTACATGTCCGCCTGGCGTACCATGGTCACTCTCACAAAGGAGCAAGGCATCCGTCGGCTGTTTCGAGGGACGCTGCTAACCCTTGCGGTGGCGCCGCTGACAGGGGCGTGGTGGTTTGCTTACGAACTCTTGAAGAGCTACACGTACGGCATCAGTCCTGCTGTGGGGACTTTATTGTCTAGAAACCTTCCCTCGACGCTGATCGAGCGGCTTCCGGTGTACTGCACCTCGACAACTGATAATCTCCTAATTAACTGCCTCGTCGCGACGTTCACAAACGTAGGGATGGGGATCCTCACAAACCCAATTTATGTGCTTCGGCTTCGACTGCAGGTGAATCGAACATTAATCAATGTGCGGTGGCCCATAATATATATACTGAAAGATATACTTCAGCACGAGGGGGTTGGCGCGTTGTGGAAAGGGCTTGGGGTTAATCTCTTCGTGGCGGCGATGGGAGGCTGCGTGTTTGGTATGACCTATGAAAGTGCTAAGAAGTTTTCAGATATCACCGTTGTGACTCCCTCGTCCAGTTGAGTTCTCAAAAAAGTGAGGAATTAATTTTAGGTTCTGCCCCCCTTTATGCACATGAACATCCCGATGACTTGTGGCTGGTGGCTGTCTCGCGCAAGTCGATGCGAAGAAAAAAAAGGGGAGGGGAGGGGAGAGAAAACCTTGCGGTGTGAGTGTGTGTATATATACTTGTCATACCTCATTTTTATCATATCCAGGTACTCAAAGCTTTTGGTGGGAAAAGGGAAGAGTAGTATAAATGGAAGTGGTGTGCCTATACGTTGTTTATTGGAAACTTCACTTCATAGTTAATCAAAGGTAAAAGATACTACTCTCTTTGAAACCTCTCCCGAGAACAGAGCGACTGTTAATAAACGTTGTCATGTTTGCGTTTCCAATCCAGTTAGGATATTTTAAAAAAATCTCAAGGGTAGGGAAACGAAACACAAAACCATTGTTTCATTCCCGGGTGAACACCTTGTGGTGAGGGAATATTCAACCCATAATTCCCTTTCTTTCAGTTTTCTTTTACAGATGAGCTTTTAAATTTAACATATTTTATGCCTTTCTTTTTTACCTGTAAATATAATCCCAAAGCACATAAGAAAAGGTAGACAAATTGAACTATACCTTACATTCACTTTTTTACTTATCTTAATAGAAATAAACATTTAACTCCTTTTTTTTTTGTACCTTGCGATAACAATCGGCTCACAGGCGTAAATCATACTCTTCGTGCCGATTTACGGGTATTCACTTTTCAAGCACCTCTTGCCCCAACGTACAGTGTCATCGTGCAGACATCGGAAACGTGGTCCAATAAAAATACATATATATATATTCACTTCAATCAAATTAGGTACCTCATTTACAGTATCGATTTTCACTCACCAACAATTAATTTTGTCACTCAAAATATTTGACCACACCATTCCACTTATTAGCCTCGCTATTTGTCAAGCACTGAGGCCACGCAAAGTACCTGGTGCTTTCATATCTATATAACTCCGTGGAAAATATAGATCTGACTTCATATTTAATCTTATTTCACCTTCTTTATTGTTTGTCGATTTATTTTTATATTCCTCCCTCTCTCCCGTCTCCTGTGCCGGTGTCCTCTCACGTGTTGTGTTGTTTCCAACGCCCATACTAGTGCCTCGTTACGATAACCACGTGCTCAGACGACCTCCTCTCGATGAACGCGTCGAAGTCAGGAGGGCTGCACCACGGCTCTCACCCTGAACACGGGTTTGTTCGCCTGCCGTACGCGCCTCAGGGGTATCAATGCACGATTTGCAAGGCCGCCGCGAGCAATTCCGAGGTGGCGTGGTTCCGCTGCGGCGAGGCGGAATGCCCCGCGCTGCTCTGCCATAAGTGCTTTGACGTTGAGGAGCAGCTGTTTGGCTCCGTGCAGGTAGTGATACGAAGTCCACTCATCCCGCACGATGACACCAGCGCCGCAGTCCGCACCCGCCCACGGCCGAGCGGCCATAAACTCGCCCCACTATACGCGGGGAAGTTTATGGAGGTCGTCTCCCGGGCCGTTTGCGCGGATGATCCAAAGCAGGTCTACTTTCGTCTGCGATCCGGTGGGTGGATCAACTCGAAGCACGTGGTGTGTGCAATCACCTCTAAAAATCTTATCGAAAGTCTGGCCTGGATTCACCTACGAGCCAATACCGGGGTTAGTAATCCAAGCTCAAACCATAGTCCTTGCTCGGATATCAGTCCTGGGATGGTTATCGAGTATATCGTGGAGACGATCACAATGCTGGAGACAAGCCCGCACTATGGTATCGTCATGGCTGCCATCACCCTCTACCCAATCCACTATGTCGTCTCCGTGTTGGCCTCGCCTGCCAGCCTCGGCGGCTATCCACATCATGAAGAAAACGAAGAAAGTGGTGGTAGCAGGCCGTCTTTAGTGCCCGAGCTGGCCATGTTGAGGTCTTACACCTCTCTGATCGACAACATCATAAACTTTGTTCACAATGTTTTGTATTTTGCCCTCACAGAGCTGGAATGCAGCATTGACGATGGCGAGCGCGTGGAGGACGGTACGATGTTGTCGCTTTTCGAGGATGTTATCGCGGGTTGCGTGTTGGTGGTCTATAATCTTCAACGGCAGTGTCTGGTCGAGCTACCTCAGGAGTTTATTAATTTAATGCTTCGGACGCTTGTGCTGTTTGGTCGGATTTATATCTTTCTGCGTCCTCACGATGGCCCTGTGGAGCCGCTCAGGCTGCAGGATCCTGCGGTCATCTCCTCCCATATTGACCTGCCCTGCGAGTGGGCCCGCCTCTACCGCCTCAGCAGCTTCGTGACGGATGTCGCCGGGCGGGTGCTGTTGACCATGCACAACATCCCCAGCACCCTCGAGGTCAAGGACCTCAAACTAATCCGAGAGCAGCTCTCGTACGCCGCGAACGAGGTGCTGGAAGAGACTTTCTGTGAGCTTTTGGCGGTTTGCATGCGCCGGGGGCCGAGTATCCAGCGGCAATTCTTTAGTCTGGATCCTCTGGAGATCGTCGTTCGGCTGGCTAAGCGGGCGACCTTAGCGGAGAGCCAGATCGCCGTGGTTCGCTTAATCGCCGACGCCGCCCATCGCTGTCCGCGGAACATCGCGTTGATGTCCTCGGTGGTGATTTACCCGCTGATTAAGATGGCGAGCTCCTCGCACAGCCCGGCGGCGCTCTCCACCGCGCTAGACTGCTTCAGCGACCTCGCCTTCAACGACCCCCGGGCGGGGGAAGGAGGAGGGGCCTTTCGGGGGCTGCCCTTCTCGCCCCTCAGCCACGCCCGGCGGGGGACGGAGACGCCGCCCGAGATCCTCTGCACCCGCAGCCTCCACCCCCACACCGCGCCCTTCCAGCTCATGCACGGCTTCACCCTGGAGAACGGGCTGATGGTGAACTATTGCGGGGCCTGCGCCCTCGCTCACCCCCCAGAAGGGGGGGTGCCCATCGACGACGCCGAGTACGGCTACTTCAGCTGCCAGTGCAGCTGCAACCCGCGCGGGGGGGGGCGGAAGCCGCTGCCCCCACCCAGCATCCCCCACACCGCCGCCATCCAAATCCTCACCGCCGCGGGCCTGGCGAACCTCCTTCTCGCCAGTCTCAAGGCCTACCCTGACAACCCTGCGGTGCTGAACGCCGTGGGGGGCGTCGTGCTCCGCGTGGAGGTCCCGGAGGAGGTCATCAATACCCTCTTCTATGTCTTGGTTGAGCAGGGGGACCTGGGGCCTTTTGCGGAGGCCGCCCTCGGCGTGGCCTCGCGCGCTTTTCTGCCCTCTATCGAAGCTCTGTGTAAGAACTATGTCGATACCCCCCTCACAGAGTACATCCGGGGGCCGCCTGTCAGTTCCACTCCTTTTAGGGTCTCTCAAAGCAACGATACGCCGCCCGGCGTCACCAGCCAGGGAAAAAGCGACGTAGGCCTTTCCCCGTCTCCGTACGGAATCTCCGCATACCAAAGCTCCTGCAAAAGCGATGAGTATCAAAGCACCGTCTTTCAAAGTCACCTCCACACCGAAATTAACCTATACAACGATAATATCGAGTCCTCAGGATTGTGATTCGGTGATAATAAGAATGTGTGATAGTCTTAGCTGTTGATATCAATATTCCGTTGTCCGGAGTTCTATCCTTGGGAAAGGTGCTGTGTCTACCCCCTTTCTTCTTTTAACGCATGAGCTGCATTAGCAATGTGTCTCAATCGTATGGATAAAATTTTCATATCTCTGTGTGTGTGCGAACAGAAATAAAAGATAGAACACGCTCACTAAGGTTATCTCTAGATCCTTAAAAGGAGATATGCTAGCTTTTTTTTCTATTGTTAAGCGCATTTTTTCATTTATTTATTTTTCGGCACATACCAAGGATGTGTGTAAAACGATTAGATAATACGCCCTCATCCCACTCTCCTTTGTCCACATTCAAACTTAAAACTTTAGTATAAGGGAATGAACAAGACGATTTAGGTTATATCAAAGAAGCTTTTGATAGAAGAATGTTGTGGATGAAAGGAATAATGTTATATATACCTCATGTCTCTATTTATCATCCTTAATCTATATTTTCTAAGGTGAACATGGTATAGAAAGTAACTTTTCCCTCCCTAGATATTTTGGGGTCAGATAGTAAATGAATTTTTATGACAAATATGAATATATATCTGATGTCTAATGATAAATCATAGTGTCAAGGGAAATTTTACAGCTGAATAGAACACATTGATATTATTTAGTTATATATATATTTATTACATTATTTATTTTATACAAAGAAAACCAATGGTAAAACGAGACAAAAGGGTATATTTCAGGAATGTGGTATCTGTTGATTATGGACTTAGTAGCACAGTTTAGTTCACAATGCGTATAAAAAAAAATTAGCGTCCTTGAAGTAGAAAAAGTGGGAAAAAAATGGAAAAGAAAGTTAGCTAACTATTATTATTTGGTTATGATACCGTTCGGATTTTAGTTTATTTATATGTTTAAACTTTTTTCGTTGAATTTGTAAAATCCTTACAAAACAACGGATAAAATAATCCAGGATGGTTATCTTTTTTCTTTATCGATACGTATTTATAAGAAAGGGGGGTCCTACTGTTGGAAAGAAAACCAACGTACATTATTTCATATTTCAATGAACAGGGACGGAAAGGTACTGATAGTATTAACTGTCAAATAGCGAATAGAGTTTTGGTTTTCTTCGCGTTGTTACAATGTCGAAGTACTCGCTTATGAAAACAAACGATAAAAATGAGGGAGGAGTTGACTGGTCTCTCATTTTCAAAAGAACTGTAAATGGTGTCTTTTTGTGGCTTCACTGATACAACTATCATTTTATCCTCATTGGTACTTTATTTTTTACATTGTAGATGCCCTAGAAAAAAACGTAGAATATTAGGTGAGGAACGTATATTTAATCTTAACAGAAAGGGTCTTGTGGGAATGGATACCCTGCAACTGACACAGGAGCAGCGCATCGCAGAGCGCCGCATCCGCATTCGAAAAAATGTAGAAAATGCGTCGCTGACAAGATCAAGTGGCGGTGGAGATATCATGGGCGGCGCTTTATCCCCGGAGCCGCTGTGGGAGGGTAAAACAACTGCCAACGCGGCTGAGCGAGCGATGCACGAGATTATGGACGACGCGACGCGAGCGGTGACGGAGTTTAGCGTCAAAGCCGACGTCAACGAAGCCGAACGGCGCGAGAAAGAGGAACAGCGAACAACCACTTTGAAGGAGGAAATAGGTTCCGCGGCTCAAGAAACTGAAATCAGATTTAATGCTATTGCCCTTCGTTTTGAGACGCTTAGCAAACAGACTGTCCCCCATGAACTTCGAGACGCTTTGATAGAACAGAAAAAAAAGTGCAATGAGTTACTAGATAGCAAGGATGTTATTCTGCAGAAGCTTCAAAAATACCTAGATGAAAAAGAAGATGGGTATGTCCAACTTCTGCGACAAAACAGGGTGGACATCGAGGAGATGGTACAGACAATGCGCAAGAAAACTGAGGAAATACTCGATGCATACGCGCTACAGCTCGATTTGGTTGAGAAGACCTACGAAAAGGAGCGTCGTGAAATGATGGAAAAACATAATGAAGAAATCCAGCAGCTTATCAAAACACGCCGAACGCGTGAAACGGATTACCGTAAGTCGCGGGAGGCAAAGCTGATGGAAACGCAAGCCAAACTCGTGGAGAAGTACGAAGACAATTACGAAGAATTTAATAATGCAAAGAAAAAGTATCTTGAGGATATGGGGGCCCTCACTGAAGAGCTTTCAAAGTGCAAGGCAGACTTCATGTTGAATGGCGAACGGCTCAATTACAACCTCCAGGTCTTGCGGGAGCGCTTGAAGGAAAACAAGGTTGTGCAGAGCCAATACAAACGTAAGCTAGCCAGACTTCAGGAAACCCTAAGCAATCTCGTTATGCGTCATCGTGAATCGGAGAGCAAGTACCAGAGAGCAAATAAAAACCTGACGGTTCAGCTTCACCGCACCAGCGCCCACTACAGGGATATTCAACACAAGTTTCAGCTCTTTGAAAAGACTGACAAGGCAAAGTATAAACAACTGTATAATATGCACAACCAGCAGTGCAAGCGGCTGGTTCACCGCTGCCTGCAGGTGGACAATGTGATTTTCGAAGACATCCTCAACGTCCCGTGGAGTCCACCCGAGCTGAAATTTTGGCCCGAGGAGCAAGAGGACTTGGAGAGTCTGGACGTGGGCCCCGAGGCTGGAGCC